CAAATGTGGTGCTGTTTTCCAGGCTGGTCCATTTTGTTTGCAAAATCTGAATGCTCTGAGACAATCAAGAATTAGCTTGAGTGCTCATGAATATTATACAAATTTCAATAGCATTTGCCGAAGACAAATCCACCAAGAAAGGACTAATCAAATTGAGTTTATACATTAGTTCCGACTAAATCGTGTGGGCAACTCTGCTAAATGAACGCATGTATTCGACTGGAACAAAGCTTACTCTGCACAGTGATAAATTCTTATTATAAACATAGGTTAGAAGACGAGAGAAGAAAAGTGCTCATTCTGTACGGCATTACTATATGTTACGGCGAACAACACTGTACATTTTTGTGCTTCAGAAAGTCGCTTCAAGGCAAGTTATTTACAGGCCCAGTTGAAAACTTAGGCTGCATTGGTTGGCCGCTCGTAAACCGCATGCAATTATAAACTTTGGATGCGCGGCTTCTTGTTGATTGGTGTCAAGTTTCTTCCATGATGACAGTGGAACATATCACGCCGATCAAAAGAAGATCCGGGGATCAGACACAACATGAAACTGCAGAAATTTGAGAAATTTTCAACTTAAATAAAAAAACGAGATAATTACATAAAACTTTCAATTTAAGAGCACAAAAATGTCATGTCAAGCAGTCATATCTTCGCCAAAACCTTTAGAACAACTTCATTGTCTTACGTGAGTATTTTTTAAACTTTTTTAACTGAAATTGAAGTTGTGAAAATTGTTTCATGAATTAAGGTGAAATCACTCGGCGTTTTATTTTCTTATAAATTATTAGTGAATAAAACTCCGTTGACAGTAAAAAATGATGTAATATACAAGTGTACGACTTGACAAAGGCTTACGTCGACTAGATGCGCTCACCAATACAGCAGTGCTTGAGAGCTGGTCAAACTTTTTCATCTATTTCAACTCTTCAACGTCACTATAGCTTTTGCTTAGGGATCAATTTCAAACTTAGCAGTTGATTAAATTATTATTAATCAAAAAGATTATTAATTAATAAATAGATTTATTAATAAAGATTTAATAATAAAAAAATTATTAAAATCAAAAGCCTCAAGTTACCTCAGCACGCAGAAAAATAGCAGGGGCATATACCTAGTTTGGTCACACACTTTATGACGCACAGCACGATCAGTTATCGGACATAGAATTGACCCACACTTTTTCCTGGGCCAAAATAGGTCAAGATGATCAACAAGAGAGCAAAAAGTATTTCGTTATTAGGATAAAAGTCTTATTGATTTCTCTGAGTGTTGACACACATCAATCAGTTTAATAGTAGAGAAGCAATACCCGTTTTATCTCTTAAAAATGAGTGGGGCACTCATAAAAATGAGTGGGGCAGTCATAAAAATGAGTGGGGCACTCATAAAAATGAGTGGGACACTCATAAAAATGAGTGGGACACTCATAAAAATGAGTGGGACACTCATAAAAATGAGTGGGGCACTCATAAAAATGAGTGGGACACTCATAAAAATGAGTTGGGCTATGAAGAATTACTGATACACATTTTTCTCTTTGTGCGACTCATCCTCCCATAGCTTGGCGCTGCAAATAAGACGTATCAGTGCTACGTACATCAAGTGTGTCACTATAAGGACAACCTGACCCGTTCATTTATGGCAGTAACGCGGGTAACCTCGACGTAATCACTACGGCGACCAGGTCCCAGTATTTACCTAACAAACTTCGTTACTCTAACACCTCAGGGATCTGGTCGTGACGTCAGAGAGAAGTTGTATGTTTATAATAGAATTCACCACGAGTTTTCGCGATAAATGTACGCACGTCTTTCTAGAGTAGTTTTGCTGAAAAATAATAACAAGTGTTAATCATTTATAAGTATATAAGTTAATTATATACTCTGATTTTTGAAATGTAATTAAAATGCAAAGAAATCATTTCGACACAGTCCCACACTTATTCTGTCTTGGTAAGTAATTTAATTCTGCAAGCCTTTGCTACAGAATTCACGAGTACGAAACCATGTCAATACCTGAATTTTCTCTAAGGCATTATTTCCACACGCTACAATTTGCCCACTAAACACAAAATATGCTCACTATACACACTATATTGCACACTAAATGTATATAACCATATTACAGACGCAATATATAGGTACTATAAATTATTGCGTATACACTCGTCATACGCAAACACATAACAGGTTCGAGTAAGAATGTTTACCCTGAGACATGAGCGTGACAGTTGCGTGATGGGATCAGCAGCCATCAATGGTATATAGCGATGGAGAAGGAGATCGCGCGGCGTCCACGCCTATGCTCTTTATTGAGGAAAGTTTTAATGTAATGGGCGGCTGTTCGGCCTCAAGTCCAACGCTGAGGGTCGACCTGCGGTGGTGGAATACTGCCAGCCAGCTATACTGTGAGCAGAGGGCTGTGAGCACAAGACTGTGAGCACAAGACTGTGAGCAGAAGACTGTGAGCACAAGACTCTGAGCACAAGACTGTGAGCACAAGACTCTGAGCACAAGACTGTGAGCACAAGACTGTGAGCAGAAGACTGTGAGCACAAGACTGTGAGCAGAAGACTATGAGCACAAGACTTTGAGCAGAAGACTCTGAGCACAAGACTCTGAGCACAAGACTGTGAGCACAAGACTGTGAGCACAAGACTGTGAGCAGAAGACTGTGAGCACAAGACTGTGAGCAGAAGACTATGAGCACAAGACTTTGAGCAGAAGACTCTGAGCACAAGACTCTGAGCATAAGACTGTGAGCACAAGACTGTGAGCACAAGACTCTGAGCATAAGACTGTGAGCACAAGACTGTAAGCATAAGACTGTGAGCACAAGACTGTGAGCACAAGACTGAAAGCACAATACCGTAATGACGAAGGCCTGCGTTGCCACATAAACAGTGGCAGAATCGACTGCCTGAACGTTCCTATTTACTCACGCCCTCTCCCACAAAACGCACGTGTTCCTTGCATTACTCACTGCATCTATCCTCTACCTCGATTTACCCATAACCGCATATGCTCAACCTACTCATGTGTTCATTGCATTACTCACTGCATCTATGCAACGCTGTTATATCAGCCTCAAGTTCAAGCCAGGCTCTCATCAGATAAAACCTCAATGCTCAACTGCCACTGCAGCTGTGGGATTAGTGCACGTTTATTCACTTGGTTAACTTTCATCACAAGCGCCCCCCGCTGAGGCTTTGATTACCTTTCATCACAAGCGCCCCTGTCTCTTATACACATCTAGATGTGTATAAGAGACAGCACCAATGCTGGTGCATTCATGAACGCCACCAAAGCTGGTGCATTCATGAACGCCACCAATGCTGGTGCATTCATGAACGCCGCCAATGCTGGTGCATTCATGAACGCCGACAAACGACATAAGTAGGTATACCTACGGCAGAGGCTGGTCCAAAGCCTGTAATTACATCAAATAACAAAAAAATGAACAAAACGCCATATTGATTTAAGGCTGACGGTACAAATTTAGACCAATGATGTGCCTAGATGACCAATGAGGCGCTATTTTCATGCTATTAGGCGCCTACAGCAGCAATACGGTACTAATGTTTTTCAACTGAACAAGAGTAAGTAAATTAGGCACATGCCGTTTCAATCATTATGTTCTACTATATTGAATTACAATAGCTAAATTATGCACATGCCGCAATAACAAATATGTTCTGCCACTGAATTACAGTAACTGAGGAGCTTGAATTTTTATTCGGCCTTGGATATTGACGCGCACATTTAGTGTGAGATTAATATTCAGCTGGAGGAAGGAGATTGATTTCGAAGAAATAAGTAGTGAGGCTCGGTGGCTCTGACCCACTGCCGCATTTATTAAGGTTTAAAGTTTTGTTCTGGTTCAACCTAAAATGGTTTCAGGCTCAAGTTAGAAACCAGTAGTGAATTGTGGTTCTTAAATTCTGATTACGACAGAATTAAATAGCTCGATCATGGAACATAAAAAGAATAAATGTCTTTTCTTATCTCAATTTATTGCAGTAAAAACCACTTCTTTTTCCTAATCTAAAGCTTCAAACATTACGTATATATGTACAAAATGAGATTCGTTTAGTTCATCGCCTTTCTCTTTATTTTCGGTCATCAAAGATTTCGATGATGGTTCAACGTTTGGACACCTGTTCGTGCGCTTGGTCCGGCTTGGAAAGTGTCGTAATAAATCCAAAATCCTTTCAAGAGTTAAATAATAGTTAAAGTAAATTATAAATATTTTTCCGAAATATGTTCCTCCACCACGTTTCATGAATATTTCAACGTTATTGCCGGAAAAAGGAACTATCCTGTGATGTCCTCAGCTTTTTCGAGAGCAAATTTTCGGGTTATCTTTCACGTCAATAGACAGGCAGCAGAGAGACTATTTTTCGGTATCTTCTTAACTGCTGAAGTGCCTCTAATCTAAACCTAGAGACAATTGTTTCACCTTGCCCAACTTGCAGGGTGGAATTATCAATTATAGCAATGACGGTTGATCTATTCAATATCGATCCAGCAGGGCAGGGTCACTTGCTAATTTGCTATGTGCGAAAATATCAGCTAAGTTTTAAGAGGAACGTCCAGTTCATCGCTTCCAGTGTACGATGGATGGTAGGTCCTACTACACATTCCACTCCATTTATTACGATTACCCTTCCAAAATTCCACCCTCCGAAAGGTCACTACGCCTCCGTGATGCTTTTTGAGTTTAAAAAACGAAATCATCACAATTTACCAGCCTTATTTATTTCTATCGTTGTTGGGCTACTATATATTTGGTTGCCAAAGGAAGAGCAAATCTTTCGTATGCACAGTTTATCCTCAGCCTGATTACTCTGAAGATAGAGGAGGGACTAGAGGTTCGGCCGGAGAGAGTGTCATACTCATTGTATGCTGCAAATAAGGTATACATTATTTTACAATGAAGAATTTAAATTGAGTTTTAGGTATAAAAAATGAAGAAAAAGGGAGGAAGGTACTCACATCAAGCGCTTATCCAAAAGGATTAGTAGGAGTCGATTTGGAAATTCACCACCTTCTGAAATTCAGACTCCAAGTCACCCGGAAATCAGTATTCACGAAAAAATGTAGACACCTCAAGAACGAACAAAGCGAAGTAAAACGACTAAATTTATACGCGCCGGACCATAAAATACATTTCACTGGGTCACGGAATCCTGGCGACGAACTGAATTAGGTTTATGATCTCGGACGAGTGACAGGATTGGGAGCGCTTACACCCTACTTCAACGACGGCCAAAGGCGCACTGACCATCGCAGACTTCGCAGTCACGAAGTCCGCTCGCCTGGGCCTACGGAAGCCGCGCTGCCCGGCTGCTGCAGTGGCAGGAAGGTATCAAGAAAACTGCATATATCCATGGTACTAGGGCACTAATAATTACTTATATAAGCTGCACTCTGATAAGCTGGACACTAGGGCCCTGATAAGCTGGAGCCATGGTACTAGGGCACTGATAAGCTGGATTAGAGGCAAAGAGCACTGATAAGAACTTGAATCCCTGGTATAGAGGCGCTGATAAGCTGGATTCCTTGACGAGGATGGTGACCGCCATGGTCACCGGAGCTGTCCACAACTGTTGGCGGATTCATTTTTTGTGGTCTGTTTAGCTTACGAAATTGTCTGAAGATTATCAATTCAATTATCAATTTGACCAAGTTGGTCTCGGAGTTGGTTCACCTAGTTGCTGCTGGAAAGTGTATTATTATTCAGTCAGTATGACCTGTAGATTTTTCTGACTGATGTGTGTGGGCGGGTGAATAACTGGACAGTGTGGGCAGACAGCGTGGGTAAAGAGGCCAGGTTAAATTATGAAGCTTGGAGCGATAACTGGAGAAAAAAATTCTTCCACACAGACAAGTGCCAAATGTTGACAGAAACAAGGTGGTGCGTGGGTACAGCGTTGAATGCTGGTGTAATTATGGCACCGAAAAGAACGGCGTGTGTCAGAAGCACAAGTATATCAAAGGACACACTTGTTGCTGCTGCTGCTGCTGTGTCTATGTTCAGTCTCTGGTAATTAGAACTCACTGAGATACCCTCTTCATGCTCTTGATCAGTCCATGGAGTTCTTCAGTCAATGGGGAGATGAGCCCTCCGGAGCACGCAGTGCCTGCATGATGTGCCTGCGCAGTGCCTGCGTGATGACATTCAAACAGAAATTAACGACCTTACAGGAGTTAGGAAGAATTAGATTTTCTTATTTTTATTCTATTTAAGTGAATTTGTTAAATCAAGGAACGTCATGCTGTTACTTTTCCCGCTCATGATGCTTTGGGTGCCTATCGTCGCCAATATGGTGCCCAGCTTGTTGTTCAGTGAACAAGGAGCATTTCATCACTAAATTTGGTAGAGTCAGAGTATTTCATATATACCGAATTTAGTTCTGTTTCATTATGAGAAATATTTTGTAGTGATTTATGATTCATTCCTTCGCAAAGCTTCTGCATTGCGGGTTATTTGATATCGGTAATAATTTTTTTTTAATCGTTTAAAAGTTCAATTTGTCAAATTAGGAAGAACGAAGATAATGTGTGAGATACACTCAACTAACTACGACGTCGAGAATACAGCGACCAATGGCAGCCAATTTCAGCGAAAATCTACAATTTTGTCGGCGTGGAAACCGATGCAGTGTTAAACTTAAGAACACTGTAAGAAAGTCCGTAATATCCAAGATATTGCATTGTTATATATTATATTATATTATATCTTATTATATTATATTATATTATATTATATATTATTATATTATATTATATTATATTATATTATACTATATTATATTATTAAAATAACCGCGAATTGAAGTAATATGCGAGAACTTTCGAGCACTGCGAAAATAAACGAGCATCGAATATTATACGAGCTCCATAATAATTAATATTCGCGAATGTGTTCTTCGGTTCTTTAGCGCTGGCGATGGAATAATATCTGACGCGGTATTTTCCAGTCCGCCGGTCGTGTCCGCACCAGCGGACTGGCAACCGGAACTGGCGGCTGGCACGTCCAAGCGGCGGTGGACTGCTTAAATTCAGACCTAAAATGAGAGGACGATGTGAGTCTAAAATGAGAACGGGATGAGGGTCTAAATTGAGAAAAAGATGTAGTACTAATATGAGAGCATGATGTGGTCTAAAGTAAAGACAATAGCGAACTGAAAGAAAAAAATGATTTAACTAGTAAATTTTATGTATCTAGTAAAAACTATGTGACTAATAAAATTAGGCGACTAGTATAAATGATTTACCTGGTAAAAATGATGTAACTAGTAAGATGAATGAAATTCGGGCACAATTAACAGCATGATGTGCAGTTCAGTCATATTGAATACTTTTAATTTATCCTAGAAGTAATCATACAAAGCGTTATTCCCTAGGTCGCACCTTTTAAAGAACGATTTGATGCACTTTTGCTGTGTTGCGGGTGACTATTTAGACGGATGACCCAGTAATTTTTTTAAGTATTAAGGACATAGGCCACAAACATCATCAGTGCGCCACGCGGACACGAAGTTCATACTTTGGATAAGTTTTTAAAAGATAACTCTTTTAAGAACAACTTAGTTTTAACAACGTGTAGTATAAAGGAATACGATGAAGAAATATGATACTTGAAGTGAGAGTTCAAATCAATCACAAACTACAATCATAATTAATGTAATTATAGTTCGGTAATTTTAAACCCCTAGCCGTTAGTTTATTTAAACACTATAATATTCTGTCATTATGTATTTGTATATTTGTCAGATATATTGGTCGCATACTTAATTAATGACCTATAGCAAGTTACATAGTAAGTTATAGAAGGCATTCATCGGGTCAGTAAATGCCGACCTTTAATTTCACGCCAAAAATAGAACAGCAGATAAATGAGTCAAAAGTCAAATGGAACCGCCGTTCTTTGAAGTAAAGGTGAAATTATTATTTATTATTATTATGTTCTTCAAAGAAAAAATGATAAAAAAAAACAAAGGAGATGTACAGCAGAGTGTGTGCAATTTGTACACGTCAGCGCCGAGCTCACCAACTATCGCTGCATAGGTCGCTGCGAGATGAGATAATGAGTATATAAAATGAATATGTATAATTAATATATATAATGAGTGCTTTGTATTTATGCTTCATCATGTAACAGCTTTTCGTCGTTTTGAATCGTGTAGCGAAATGTTATTCTAGCCCTGGATTTTAATTCTGTCAAATAGGAAACTTTCAACGAAACCTAAGGAATCGTCAGAGCGATCTCTCAACTGTCAGTAATATATTAAATTGAGAGAGATGAATGACTACGATTGATATGTTCCTCTAGGAGAATATTGTGGTGATAAGAATCAATCTGAGTTTGATATTTGAATACTCTCAATGACAATCAGCATCCTGAATGAATCAATGTTAATTCTATTGAAGTCATATCCAAATTTGCAGGATTCTCATTGAGGTTATCATACTAGAGAGCTCATTTCTCTGACTTGGTTTTCGATGTGAAATATTTAGCACTCATTATTATACAATTCTGATCAGAATCAAATTTATAATAAACAAATGGCATTTAATGGACAATATTTTAATTGCTTGGTTTTTAACTCATTTGGAAGGGACGATAATTAGAAAAAACAGGCGATAAAAAACAGCTTTATATACTGTAAGTTCAAATTTGCAATGATGTAGCTTTGTTATTCCTGCCGCCGCGAAGTTCTGTGCCACTGAGAATGAGAAGATTGAATTGCCAGCTGCAACGTACTCTTATTGTGGAGCAAAAGTTACGTGTTTTACAAACCTGCAAGAACCAATTTCCTGCCACGAATGATTTGCGATGCTGTGGCCTTTCATTAAAACCACCAAACTTCTCATTCCCGTTCTGCATTCCTCGCAATCACAATCTTGACACCAGCCTTCGATCGCCGACTGCAATCATCAATCTCCGAATAATTCTCCTGGATTCGCTTGGCCCAGGGCATGATTATTGTGTTAAGCTGCCGCATTTTTTATGAAGGTTAATCATCGTGATTTTTGACCAACAAGTACGTCGGTCGTTAGCCTTTGGGAATTGGGTATTAGACTGACAGTTTCGGGAGGTGGCTCCCGTGTCCAGCCGTAAAGTGGCCGGCGTCACGCGAGCATGCATTAAGCTACTCATTGCCCTAACACGACACGAAGCACTTCCATGAACGAGACCACGCACCCCCAAACAGAACCACGCAGGTCACGCAAGACTCCTGTGGTCTGGAGGTCTACATTGCGTGGCCGTGGTCTAATCTGTTCCCATATCCCGGCAAAATCGCTCGCATAAATCGGCAGTTTTGGCGGTAAACAGTTTCTTGGACCGGAGCATGGGAGCCTCGTTAGGACTTAAGGCTTAAGTGCAGTCCAGTTCAGGTAGGAGCTTGAGTCACGGTGAAGCTGAGCAGTAACGCAGGCATTTCACCTATGGTATCTATTACATTTATTTTATCTATAAAATAGATTATACAGAGGTAAGACGTATCCACTAGGAATTGTTTCAGAATACTTCAACATTAATTAAATTTGGAATTTTCAACAACGTTGTCCACTAATGACGTAATAGATCAAAAATGTCATTTAACTTTTAATTTACAAAGTTTACAAAGTCATTTTAGTCAGTTTACAAAGCAAATTTGACCGTTGACCTTAATTAGAGACTTGACCTCAATTAGAGTGTTGCCCTCAATTAGAGAATTGACCTTAATTAGAGAGTTGACCTTAATTAGAGAGTTGACTTCGATTAGAGAGTGAGGTGACCTGAATTTGAGAGTTTATCACATATAGAGAGGTAAATTCAATTAGAGAGTTGGCTTTAATTAGAGAATTGACCACAAATAGAGAGTTGACCTCAATTAGAGAGCGATATCAATTAGAGAGTTTACCTCAATTAAAGAGTTGACCTCAATTGGAAGTTGACATCAATTACAAAGTTTACCTCAATTAGAAAGTTGGCTTCAATTAGAGAGTTGACCTCAATTAGAGAGTTTAACTAAATTAGAGAGTTGACCTCAATTAGAGAGTTGACCTCAATTAGAGAGTTGGCCTCAATTAGAGAGTTGGCCTCAATTAGAGAGTTTACTTCAATTAGAGAGTTGACCTCAATTAGAGAGTTGACCTCAATTAAAGAGTTGACCTGAATTAGAGAGTTAACCTCAATTAGAGAGTTGACCTCAATTAAAGAGTTGACCTGAATTAGAGAGTTGACCTCAATCAGAGAGTTGACCGC